AAAAATCACCTGTCAGGAAAGCAAGAGAAATCAGCCCGTCATCTTCGGCCGGACCAGCTATGTACATGGGTTTAAATGGTCATTAATGCATCCCTTCCTGCTTGAAATCATATCTGGGTTAATGTCCTCGCCCGCGTTCCATGATGGACACCTCCATTAGGAGCAGTTGAAAAAGTGACAAGAACTGTCTGGGGAAAAAAAGAGAAATTGGCTTTTGGGTTGGGGAGAGGTGGAAATTTCATATAAATCTGCTGATTTCCTTTGGTGCTGATGAGGAAATGGAAGCGGCAGCTCTGGATCGAGTTGTGTGTGGAGAAGGAATTGGGAAATGGCAGTTAAAAAATAGTTTGGGGGTTTTGCTGAGGGAGAACAAGCACCTTTTTTTCCTCCAGCCACCCCAAATCCTACCCCCACCCCTTGGCAGCTGCCACATCTTTGCCCCATGGAGGAGGTGTTTCCTCCAGCCATTCATCCCTGGGAAGCAGAAGTAAAGCCCAATTCTTCCAGGTGCCCCCTGTTCCCCTTTGAAACAGCCCCAGCAGCTCCGAGTCTTTTCGGCTGGCCTCACTGGTCTTCGAGGAAGGAACTGGAAAGTTGGAGGGCACTTGCTCTGGCCGTGCCTCAGTTTCCCTTCCTGTGGAAAAGAGAAGGGGAGGAAAAAAGGACACACGAACACCTGGAGCTGGACCAGAGGGAAAAGGATGTAGCATCTGTTCTGTCCCTTTGTCCACAGCCCCTCTCTGGGTGCTGAGCACCCTCAGCTGCTCTCGTCTCATCTCGTCCCATCCCATCCCAGCGACCCACTTCTGTGTGCAGAGATGGGCTGAGTATACGTGGTGTCACCCCTGGAGAGAAGGAATCGGGACAACCTCTGTATTTGATGCCCCCCAAGCTCCCCTCATGACAGCCCAGCCAGTAGGCTGCTCTTGAGGGAAAGGGATCGGAGCGGGGGGGGAGGAATAAAATAAAGGCCGAGGAGGAGCTGGGAAGGATGGTTTAACCCCATTGCAGTGTCTGTCTACAGGAAGGTTGGCTCCTCCCCAGGTCCTATGGCAAGAGGGGGATAGCTTGTAAACAGATGTATTGGTCTGCAAAGGGCAGCATGGAGTGAACTGGTGTAAACTGGTCCTCAGCAGCATCTACCACAGCCCTGAAGATGCAGAAGTCAAGCCCAAGCAATTGCTGGGCTGAGGTGTTTTGTCGCCATGGGGAAGGCTTTGTCTCAGGTGCAAAGAAACAAGATGCGGTGGGTCCTGTTACCTGCACTGGGAGCAGGTGGGGGACCCAAAGAAAGTGTGTGTGTCCCCCCCCCTGCAAAAGAACAGCACCCCATGAAAAAGCCTTTTGCAAGCAAAACACGCGTCCCCTTTAAACCATTTAGCAGGGTTAGCTCCCAGCTGGTACAAGTCTGATTATCAATATGCTCTCATTTATCCTGCAAAAGCCGCCTCACGCCGCGAAGCCACACGTCCACCCGTGCCGCGGCATCTAAACCCAGCCCGGAATAGCATCAGCCCCAAATCGGCTCACGCTCATTGACTAACCTTGCTAATCCTACAGAGAAAAAAAAAAACCACCACAACCTAGGAGGTCGGGGAATTTCTGCTGCAAGCCCAAAGCCGGCTTCATTTCGATAAAAGCAATTCATACTCCGCTAAATACCCAGAAGCATCTGATGGAAAGAGGTTTGAAACAGCCAGAAAGATGAGCTGGGGTTTGTTGGGTGGGACGCTGTGGGCACAGCCAGGTTGATGTGGGTCCATCATGGACCAGATGGATCCAGGAATCACTTTGTTCAAGTTAAGAAAGGCAACCTTTGCAGAGAGAGGGGTAGGGATAGCTAGATAATGGATACAGCAGGGGAAAATATATCAGCCAGAGCAAGAAAATGAAGTTTCAGGTACGGAGCCTGTGTTTCAGCAGCAAGCTTCTGGCAAGGAGATCGGTCATAAGTATGCCAGACCTGAGATAATGCTTCTAGAAGCTGAGACCTCCTGCTTTGGTGCTGTGTTTGTTTGGATGCTGAAGTGCCCATGACGTAGCGAATCACCCCGAAGTGTGGCCAGCATGTCGTTACCCAAGCTGCAGAGATCACCAGGTCTTGGGGCTTTCCTGAAGCATCGTGTCTGCCCCTTCTCATACTGGACGAAAGCAGCATCATGACCTTCTCCAACCACAAACCCCATCCATGCCATCATGCTCCTTCCCGTCCATCCCACCCCGGCTTCAGGTACTCTCCCATGGCACATAGGGTCCTCGCCGCTGTGACCCCAGGGAAATCAAGGCAGCTATTTCTCTGTTGCTGCACGAACGCAGTCAATCACTTGCAGCGTGCAAACATTTAAATGCCTCTCAGGGATGGAGAAAAACTTACTGCTAAGATGTCTTTGATCCATACCCTCCAAGCCCCCAGGTCCAGCTCAGGCTTTGCTGCCTCCTCTCCAGGCATGACGGTGTCTCCTCTTGCATCTGCCAATGCCAGGAGGCTGCGAGGGGATGGGACAGCTAGCACAGACCCAGGGACAACCCAAAACAACCCAGTGTCACCCTGGAGAGTCTCAACTCAGGGCCAGGGCTACTGAGATGGATCAGCATCCATCTCAGGGATCAGATGAGAGAGGACCAGCAGGTTCCTCCCCTCCTGCCCAGCGCAGAGGGAATTTGCTTCTGCATCAGAAAAGGAGCCACCGAACACCAGCCCCATCTCCATACACCAGGTCCCACCACCATCTCAAGTGGGTTCCACCTTCCCACCCTCCTGGTGAAACAAGAGGCAGCATTACCCATGGAAAAGCAACCTCTTGAGCCCAGTACAGGAGCTGAAGCATTGCCCAGGGAAGGGCAATTCCCCAGGGACTGATTCCCCCATGCCCCAGCCTGGGGTGACAACCCCCACAATGGACCTACTGCCGCGGCTTGTTCCTCCTCACCAGCATCCTGGGTGGGGGGGGAAAACCCGACCCCCAAACCGAATCGCGCTGCACACAATGTGCTTTGAAATGGGAAGGGAAGAGGAGGAAGAGCAAATGAAGCAGTAAGGCTCGAGAAGCATAATCTTGTTAAAAATCTCAGCAGGGACGTGGTGTAATTAATCCTAACAAATTCATCGTGGAACAATCCCTTGGTTGGTTTGGGATAAATGAGGAGCTGGTGCCTATGGCATCGTCACGAGGAGGTAGCAGGTACCTCTGAGCACTTTATGGCGAGTGGAGCAGAATGAGTCCTCCCCTTTCTGCTGCTGCTGGGACTGCTGTTGCCACCAAAAAGGTGGCTGCTTGTGTAGGAGAAGGGGCTTTGTCAGGTTATCAGGTGGCAAATGGGGACAGGGACCCCACAGGCTCCCGGGTACACAAATCCCCCCAAGCTGAGATGGGGAGCTGGATGGGGATGCTGAAGCAGGCACGAGCAGCCCTCCTTCTCTGCAATTTCATTTAGGAAAACAAGGCTGAGATCTTCCCAGATTTGAGCTATGAGCTGAAATGAATTGAGTAAATAAATACAAGTCAATTTGCTCTGAATTTTTGCAAGGATCGTCTTTTATCCCTCATTTTGCAGAAGCGCAATTGCAAGCTAAGCCAGCCCTGACATGACTGCATTACTCGCCTTCTCCATCTCCTCTCACCCTCAGCGCAAGCAATGAATTCCCTCTGCAAGACAATTTTTGCCCTAACGAATGTCCCGTCCATCTAAAATAGGAATCATTAAAAATCTCTCCTGTTTCAGCTGGAGAACAACGTTTGGTTTAAAATATATAGGGATTAACATGCTTCGATGTCTCGTGAAGATGAAGAGAGACATCTATGCTTTGTCATCATGCTCTACCTTGTAAGATGTCCCGGGCCAACAAAATAATAATGAAGCACTCTCAACCTTGGCAGCTCTTCCTTGCCAGAGCCTGGGAACCACCGCTTTTAGCATTCTGTCAGCCCTGGACTGGGATGCTGGGCTTTGGGTACCACTGGCATCCCAACGCCCTCGCGCTGCCCTTCTCAGCGCGGGAGGGCTTTCCTCCCCGGAGGCTTTCCTCTCCTCCTCCCCGCCTCGTCTTATCTCCTAAACGAAGGATGTCAGGCAGCATTAGCTTATCCTTCCCCTGATCCCTGCCCAGGGAGCATCCCTTGCAAAACAAATCGCTCCGTGTCAGCAGAAGTGTCTGGAGTGATAAAAGCCGTTCAGCGACGGCGGCTCCGTATGACCAGCCACTGGATGCTCCCAAACTTATTAGGACCTTGAATATATCGACAGATTTTCTGCTCCACCTGCCAGCCTGGCTGAGGATGAATGAGTTCCTCAGGCTAGCTGGAGCCTTTTGCTTCTCCTTCTTTAACGTTCATGGAGATTTATGGCCCTTCGGTGGCTTTTGCCTTTCTGGGGAGATGATAAAGTCTAACACTTCCTTACTTCACAGCAAGGTGCACCGTGGCTGCTTGCCTCAGTTTCCCCATCTGTAAAAAAAAAAAGCACTATAATTCTTAGCAGTTTGAGATCTATTTACCTGTTCCCCACATCCTTGGTGCTGGAGTGACCTGCCTGACCATGAGAAGAAAGAAAAAGCAGGAGGACTCTGTAAGATGCTGCCCAGCGTCATTTAGGACGGGGTACCCAGGTGGGGGTTGAGACATGGGCAGCACATGGAGCTCTTCTCTGAGACGAGCATCTCCCCTCTGAAGCAGCAGTCCCAGTTCAGTGCATCACCACGCTCCATTTCAGGAGCAATTTTCCTCCTCGTACTTGTTTATTTTGTCATGAACTTGTCCAGTGTTGGGGAAGCCCGTCCAGCTCTTTGCTTTGTAATGCAAAGGAGGAGGGGTTTTCCCTTTCTTCCCCATTTTTTTTCCTCCCCCCTCCCACTTTTGTACTTTTTTTTTTTCCTTTTTTCTCCCCCTTTTTTCTTTTATTCTCCTTTCTTCCCCCTCTTGTTTTCCTTTCCCCACTCCTGCCACTCACCATCAGGATGTCGTTCCTCCTCCTGTTCTCCCGCAGGATCTGCTCCTGCACACCAAGGCCATGAGCACTTGGGAATTTCGGCAGGACTTCCCCCTCAGAAAAACCTGGGAGGGAAGATGGGAAAGGGGCACAGAGGGAATTAATATCAGGGGAAGCCTGCAGGCAAAATCTCCAAACCTGGATAACCAGACCCTCAAATTCAACGAGTTAAACTCTGTGATAAGCTACAGAATAAGAAAAGCAGCAACAAAATTCCTTGATGCTGCTTCTCAGAAGACCCCAAATCCATCCCTTGGGTTACACACGAGGGCCTTACAGACCTGGGACAGACTGCAACGATCGGAGGGACAGACACAGCCCATGCACACGGGTAGGTTTGGGGGCCCTACATTTTGGTTTTGATACTTTCCTTCAAAAAAGAAAAAAAAAAATGCAATTTACAGTTCAAGGACCTCCTGAGCCACGATGCCTCTGAAGAGGTGATTGCCTCATCAGCTGGATGACAATGAGAACAAACACTTGCCTCACGGGCTTCATTGAGATGGACGAGTGTAAAGAAAGAGTCTGTGCAAATATTAATTGAGATAATCAAAGCTACGGGGCAGCAAGGCTGAGGAAGGAGCTGCAGGATGAGAGAGCTCTCTCCTTCCCATGGACCAGGAGTTGTGGATGGATGGGGTTGGCAGGAGTGGTGCAGGATGCTTGGGGTGCCTGGGCAGAAGGATGCAGGATGCTCGGGGTACCTGGGCAGATGCAGGACAGGTAGGGGTGACCAAGGATGGGATCTTAACACACACTCACCTCCCACAGCCTTCAGATATCGCTGAAGGACTCAAATACTTACTGGAAGGAGAAGCAAAAGGAAGGGACCAGTGAGTGAATAACTTGCAGGCCTTTTCCTTCTGAAAGATGAGAAAAGCAAACCCCAGGGCAGAGACGATGCTGTATTTTAAGGGCAAACAAGAGCAGCTGTGAGCCATTGGGATGGCAGGTAAAAGCCAACCTGGCCAGAGAAAATCAGGCTGTTAAGCCTGAGGGAGAGGGAACATTTTCCACCTAAGCAGCATCAGCAGGACGTGAGAAGTGTTGGCCCATGGAAAGACATTCAGGAGAGCTCAATGGCTGCAGCTTAAGATCCTTCTTCATGCAACTCACAGAGTAAAGGAGATAAATTCAGACGAGTGAGTGCAAAGGGCTAAGGTCTTCCAGAGTCTCACCACAGAGCCATCTCAGGAGAGCCAAGATGCATAACCCCTGCTCGGTGGCCCTGACCCATGTCCTCAGCAAATTTAGGAGTTTTAGGTGATGTCAATTGCTGAGCAAATATTTATTCTCCTTTGCTGGCATCCTCTCTAAATGATGCTGCTGGATCTATGGGGGTGTTTTCTGCTGGATGTGTGGATGTGCTGAGGGGGCTTGGGGCTCACCCAGGTGTTTTGCAGAGGTGGGATCCATAAATGTAACCAAGGTCTTCAGCATGATGAAGCTCTTCCCCACACCAGTGTTCATCACACAGCTGTGCTTCTGGGGGACATGGAAAGCAGGAACCCAGGGCAGGGAAAGCTCCTGTGGCCCAGCTTGTCCATACCCACAAAGCCCAAAGCCCCTATAACAGAGGACTCGACCCCTTTACTACAACTCCATCCCCTGCAGGGTTCAGCACTGCCTGGGCAGGTAGGATGAGGGCCACCCCAAACTGATGCTCATGGAGAGGTGACTGGGAGGAGGGACTGTGCCTGGTGGGGGGCAGAGGGGAGCTGAAGGCTGTAGGTGGCTGTTTCCCCCAGGCTGGCAGGACATCAGGCCAGGAGCAATTATGAAATTTCATCGCCTGGACTGTTTGAACAAAGAAGCAGCAGCCAGAAACGTACTGTCTTCTGGAGGAAGAGCTAGAAGAGCCAGTAGACCTCATGTTCCTTCTCGACCAGGAGATGGAAGAGCAGGAGCATCTCACAAAAGCCTTGCTGGTACTCTGCCAAGAGAGAGGTCATCCAGACATGCTCATTATACCGCAGGGCAGAGATGAGATCAGCACTGCTAGACACCAGTGGAAAGGTCCTCCCCAGGACCTTCTGCCCCCCTGCCTGCTCTCCAGCCTCTGCATTGCACACGTAGGTCAGCAGGAGAATCTTTTTCAGCTGCTCCTTGTCCATCATGCTTCAGCCTCATCTCTTGGGCAGTCTCTGCAGGTCCAAGCCTGGAGGGAGAGACATCCACCCACGTTGGATATTTGGAGCAGGGTGTTTGTACCCAGCCGCTTCACACCATCACATCATAAATGACTTTGCAAAAAAAACTTCATGGGCAAAACAAGCTTGAGAGAGGCCAAGCTGATTTCCTTACCTGAAGGACTCAAGAGGGCTTCAAGACAGCTCTTCTGCCCTGATTTTGACCACAGATTTCGTCCTGGTCCAAGAGTCCCACCATCCCTGCTGCCCTAAGTTTTGCCTGCTTGCTTGCCTAGACCTACAAGAAGTTTTGGCTCTGAGCAATGTGTGTAACCCCCACCAGCTCTCTAAGCAGTTCACTTCGTGCAGAAAGTTGGAGACTAATTTCTTCTTCAGCCAGTCGTGGAAAAAAAAGGGAGCAAGGAGATGTATCTGGCTGAAGGCGTGACATTTTCCTAAGGTCTTCTCCAGCTGGATGCAGCATCTTTCATTTCTACAGCCGTGACTTTGTCACAGCAAGGCACTTGGAAAAAAAAAAAACAAAACAAACCTTACCTTCTTACTTTGGCTGCATTGATTTATGCAGGTTACATTGATTTTTAACATAAATTTTGCAAGATCATTTAATATTCCTTTTGTTGTACAACTTGGAGAAGCCTAAATGGGAATCTGAATATAATAACGCTCTTCACTGAGGTAAGCTCCTTTCATCCACAAAAAAAATGGGCCCGGAGGTTCTCTCCCAGCTTCTCTCTAATGACATCTCTATCTCCTGTATTTCTATATATAATTCCCTCTCTCTGGGTCACTCGACCCATCGCTGCAACGCCGATGGCTCCAGGCGATGCTGTAGCAGGTGCCAGATCTAGCAGTCAAAGGCTGCAGCTCATGGTGAGAAAAGAGGTAGAAAAATGCCACATATTGGAGTGGCTGTGGGGATTTTAAGGTGTTCTCTAATGACATCTCTATCTCCTGTATTTCTATATATAATTCCCTCTCTCTGGGTCACTCGACCCATCGCTGCAACGCCGATGGCTCCAGGCGATGCTGTAGCAGGTGCCAGATCTAGCAGTCAAAGGCTGCAGCTCATGGTGAGAAAAGAGGTAAAAAAATGCCACATATTGGAGTGGCTGTGGGGATTTTAAGGTGTTCAGCAAGCCAGTGACGTGCGCTGGGGCTGGGCCAGCCAGAGGGCAGCAGGGGTGGCTGCTGGTGGGTTGCCATCCTTCATCCTGCCACTGCCATGGGGCAAAGCCACCCATCCTGGTATCTCAACCAGGTAAAAATCCAGCATCGATAACCCCAGTCCTGCTGCAGCTGATGGACGGGAGGGAGGATTTCATTGCAGCTTCTCTCCCTAGTCCCAGCACACAATTTCAAAAGCAGCTTAAGGTGATGCAGGACCTTCATGTAATCTTTGGTGGCACTGACCCCATCCCTCCTGCAAGGATTAGTTGCCAGCTGGACTAGGGAGGTGATCAGGCTTGCAGCTAGCTCCGTGCACATGTACAGGGTTAGTTATGCTGCAGACGGCTGGACACTGAAACTCAAGTCACTGTAACCCCTTCGGGGACACCACGCTCCCCTCTTGGCTTACCAATTAGCAGCACTCACCACCGAAGCTGCAGACATAGGAGAAACCCCTGTGCTGTGTCTCCGGCAACGGCTGGATCTTGGCATACATCTTGCACAACCCCTCCTAATTCTGCCCGCAAGGAGGGGCACAGCTTAAAAACTACCCCAGGGTTTGGACCAAAATGGGATTTCTTACTGATTTTTCCCTTGTTTCAGACCCAGAGGGGTGTGCAGGATGGGGGACGGGCTGGCAGACAGACATATCTCCAAGTGCTGTCGACCACGAGCATCTTATCTCAGGAACTGCCTCAGGAGATGTTTCCATGCCTCTGGCTGCACGGAGGATGCCAGGCCCTGGGGATGACAACGTGGTACCTCAGGCACCCCATCTGTGTCCCCAGGGGTGGCTTTGGGGCCATTGTCTGCTCTTGTGACCCGACAGACCCTCATGAAGGTGGCAATATTCCAAACCACACTACTTGGACAAGCAGTTTCAGGGTTTCCTGCTAAAGCAATCCCAGTTTACAAGTTCATTTAAACCCGAATAGCTCAACAGAAGAGTTTTCCACCCAGATTTGCCCATTCCCAGATGCACTGGGGCTCCCCAGTGTCAGGAGAAGGGAGGGTGTTCACAGGGTGCTGCAGGGGCTCGGATGGCACCTGCACCCCCTCGCACAGGGGGGATGCTCGGCTCTTTTGCAAGATCAACCCCATGTCGTGACCCCTCTTGGACAACACAACTCCATTTCCAAGGGGGTAGGAGCATCCTCTCCTCCACCTCCTTATCCCGTGGGTCCCGGAGCTGCAGCTCCATACACCAGGGACTAAGAAGTCACCCTCCCAAAAAGCACCATCCCCAGCCTCCATGCCACCAGCAAGCCAGCCCTGACCTCCCCAGATGCTTTCCAGACACTGCCTTTAAGCCCAGACAGGAAAATTTCTCACCAACCGCCCAGCAAGGGGGAAGCAGACTGTTTTCGCAGCTCTCTGCAAGCATGACAAGGTGTCTGAGTTTGTCTCAGAGCTCTCCTGGCTGCTTTCAGGGGAATGAAAAGCTGTTTTTAGAGGTTTAAAAACAAGGAGGGAATAAAAAAAAAAAAAAAAAAAGAGGTGTTTCACTGTAAGAATCAATTCTCCCTCACTGGGCAAAGCTGACTAATTTGTAAACTGCGAGAAAAGAATAAAAGGAAGCCAGCAAGTGAGAAATGCCAGATAAGGATAAGAGCAGAGCATCGCCAGGCAAAGGGATGCGCGTTCAATGACTTATCTATTCTCTTAGAAAATTGGGGAGGAAAAAGTAAACTTCTGCAGGTGTTGTCCCCTTCAGACGCCACCCAGGTGGACCTCCCGGCAAGGTTGGGGACCCCCTGGAGCCACCCTCTCCATCACTGAGCCTGCTTACCCTGTTGATGGGCATCTTCTTGGCTTTCTACAAGCAAGAGGCGAGTGGGGCCAGCCAGGCAAGGGGAGCTTTTGGTACCCTTTTTAACACCATCCTAAAACTCATAAACCACATCAGCAACCTGCTCGGCTCCGGCACGGCTCTTGTTGTCCATGTATCCCGACTCCCTCGGTGGGAAAACGCAATCCCGAGCCGACATCACTCCCTCTAATTCCAATCCAAGCCCACTTTTAGTGGAGGATAAAAGTGTGGTGTGGGTTAGCATTGCTAATTAGAAATAACCAGGGAGGAGGAATTAAGGAGATGGAAACCAGGAGAGGGAATGGTATCAGAATCTGAGGTTTCTGCATCCAATAGAAGAAGCACTTAATAATGCGACTTCTGGAGTCCAAAGGCAGGTCCTGGAGGAAGGGGCATAGGATCATCACCAATGATGCTGCCTGCATCTTTGAAGGGAGGGAAAAGCAGGGAAATTTACTTTTTTTAAAAAAATCCAACACTAAATCAAAAAGAAACAAGAGTGAACTTGTGCTGCTTGTGTTTCTGCTCCCTCCTTACAAAAGAGTGGCCTTCAGCAGAAGTTTGGTCATCCTGGGAGCAAACAGCCCATGTCCCCACTGCTGGCACTCGTGTGACAGTTCTGTCACCTTGGGGCTATGGGACTGGAGAAACACGGTGCAGAAAATCTGGGCTGGCTCTGGGTGAGCCAGGTCAAGCTGTATTCCCAAAGTGGAAGGCCTAAGATGGAACATACCCAAGGTCCTGAGCGATGCCAGCTTGGCCAGTGCTTATCAAGGCACAAGTCAAGAGATGCCTTATCTTTCAGGTCCTGTCTCCAAAACACCTTTATGGCTTGTTTCAGTCACCCTGTGTACGTACAGTTGGGCTTTCATCTCCCAAGGAAAGCCCCTGGGCTGGAAGTAGCATCCCGGGGAGTGTTATGAAGAGATATGGTGTAGGCTTACCCAGTTTTCACTCCTCTCCAAGCAGAGTAAAAGAGAGGGACCAGGAAGGCTGCCCAGACCCCGAAAGCCCCACATAGCTGCAGGGAAAAGAAGGAGATGTTGGTTTGGGAGGAGGCACTCGCCGTCTCCCAGCTCTGCTGATGCATCACCCACTCATAAGGGGAGAAGAGGGGAGGGGATCACATGCCTGCAGGGCAGAGATGTGCTGATGGATGCTGTGAGGTCTCAGGGACAGGAGTTCACCGAGAGATGAGGTCACGTGGCGTTCTCAGCCAGCATCTCCTCTCCAACCTGAATTCGAGCCCCTCGGCAAGGAGCTAAAGGTGCCCAAGTCGCTTAACATCTCTTGGGTTGCTGATGACCCATTTACAATGGCTTTGGTAGATCTCAGTCTACATCCCATGTATAATGTGATTACAAGGCTGTGTAATTGCTGCATAATTGTCCTTCTTCCTGAGGCTGGTGCACCCTGGGGTTCTAGCTTCTCAATCTTAATTAAAAAGAATAAATTTTAATCAATCTCAATCGTATTTCAGAGCTGGGGAGAGGGAGGCAGAGAGAGGGTCCCTCCGCACACAACTGACCTTTGGGGCATAGGGGGAACGTGAACCCATGTGGGGAAATTAGCCTGACAAAGAGTCTCGGAGGTGCCATGCCCCATCATTAGGGGTCTAATTGAGGACTCTTTTAAACAGTACTTTAACTCCTCAGCGGCTGGTGGCTTGGCAGAGCAAAGCCTCAGGACGATCCACCTGCCAGCTACAGAGCATTTCTAAGCAGCCAGGCATCCTCTTCCCTGCATTTTACAGAGAAGGAAAACAGGGCATGAGCAGAGCTGCTTGTCGTCCTCCAACTGCTGGGAGGCAGGAGCAGATCAGCCTTTTCTTGTCCTTGAATCAAAGGGAGTGATGCCACATCTCATTTTTCTCAGGAAAAGTTTGCAGCAGGAGTTTGAGACCCCCAATTCTGCTTTCACCCATCCACTCACAGCCCTTCTGACTGCAGAACTGCACGGACCGGTGGGGCCAGGGCTGTGGGATGTAAACCAACTCCTGCCTGGAAAGCAAGAAGCCATGTTAGTGATGGGACAGGGCTAATAAAGCCTTGCCAGGACCTGGCTGCCAAGCTGCTGAGACCTGGGGAACCCGAGGATGAGGAGAAAGGGCTTTCCAAGAGGATGGTTTTCTAAGGCAGGGACCTGGAAAGAACTGCTGAAGGGGAAGCTAGGAGCAAGGGCAGGACTTAAGGACACTGTGAAGGAGAGGAAGCCACCCCAAGGACTTTGCAG